TAGTCCTGCCACCCAAATATGTTTCATTCTCATTGCCCCTGTGCTCTGACCGCCACTTCCCTTTATGAATCCCAGCTGCAGCCAATGTCACCTGCCTAGGTAGCACCTTGCGTAGACAAGTCACACCTGGGTACTTCTCTGCACAGACCCTGCCAAAGGCTCTCACCATCCCAGAACAGAGCCCAACAAAATTACCACACCTGGCTGCACTGGGGTTGTTGGGAGTTAGCACCTGCTCCTCGGAGAAGCACTGAGTTCCATAAAGCACCAAGAATATCTCCTTGAGTTAAGCACACAGGAGATCTCTTCCTCCAAGTAAATTATCTTTAATCATTACAAGGTTAATAATTGCATTTTAAAGATCTCAAGAGTCTACTTAATACTTGGGTAGCACCATCAACGTATTTTAAACCAGTAGAATTTAAGATTGTTACCAAAAGAGTTTTTTAAACTAGAATTATAGTAGCTCATAAAACATGATAAAAACAAGAATACTTGTGGATTTCAAATGCGTTTGCCACCATGTGAGGTCCCAGCTAGAATCTCAGAGAACGGAGGATTCCTTCGGGTTCACTGGGAGAAGCCAGTGGGATGGGCAAGTGTTCCCTCCAGAGAAGGACAGCACTCAGGGCCTGAGATTAATAAGATGAAGACCTGCAGATGTCCATGCTGAGTTATTAAGCCTCAGTTAGGAGTTGGTTTTTCCCAGTTCCTACTGCAATTTTACTCTAGGCACAAGCCTTACAACTCACAAACTCAATTTGCACAATATTAATTTGAAAATATAATTTTTTCCCTTTCATGATTTTATTGTTTTCCCAATTTGACCACCAGCTTCTCGAAGGCAAGTTTTATTGCTTCTCTATTTTAAGCATCGGCCATTAAACATTTATTATGCTGCCTTACAGTAATCGTTTAATATGGTTATTAACGATTAATATTTTAATGCATTAAGGCTGTTAAGGTATTTCTCTAAACACATAAATTTGTTTTAAGAGTTATTTTGGCACAGGGGAAAATCCGATTTTAAACATATTCATTATAAAACACGTGACTTCACTCTGCAGATCCCTCTGGGGCCTCATCTGATCAATTGCATGGCCTTTGATAACTGACTGAATCAGCAATGGTGGAAAGTGGGAGCCAAGGGAGATGAGGGTTCAAAAGGAAGTTCTGGCCAGTTTTTATAACTTAATCGGTTCTGTGTTGCTGTTTGTTAACTCTGGGTACAAGAAACAGCACATTTTCTCTTGTCTAATAAACTCATCTGTGAAGTATGCTTACCTCTTACTCTGGAGACAAACACTGATTGTGCCTCAGCTGTGACTCAGGTACCAGATGAGCTGGGGGGTCCCTACCCTCCAGGAACTCATAAATGAGCAGGGAAAGAAGTGCTGTATTACCCGCCCACTGGCCCATCGTCTTAGTCTGTTCCAGCTCATATAACAAAAATACTATAAACTGGGCCGCTTGTTAACACAAATACTTATTCCTCACATTTCTGAGTCTTTATAAAAATGTGATAACCCGACCACTCTGGCCTGGCCCTGCTACTCTGAGGCTGTGGACCACAGGACACCTGTCCCATAAGCCACACATGCACCACTTCTCTTGTCCACATCTGCTCCCTGGATGGCTCTTTGCACACAGTGGGAGGCTCTGTAAGCTTGAAGAAGAGGGGCCTGTCACAGTGGCTCACACCTGTAATCCTAGTGCTTTAGGAGGCTAAGGTGGGTGGATCGCCTAAGCTCAGGAATTCGAGACCATCCTGAGCAAGAGTGAGACTCTATCTTAAAAAAAAAAAAAAAAAAAAGAAAGAAAGAAGAAGAAGAACTTGATGAGATTTGGATTTCAGAAAACTCAATCTGTTCATATGTAAGGTAATCATCCACCCACTCATACGAACTGTGATTCCTACCAAGAAGGAAGCTGCAGGGGGAGTGGGGCAGAGGTCCGGGAGGCTCAGAAAGCTGCAGGGGGGTGGGGCAGAGGTCCAGGAGGCTCCTTGCACAGGATCATCTGAGAGGGCTTCTCCAAAGAAGAGACCCTGGAACTGGGTCTCCCTGAGGCTCTGGGGGGAAAGCATCCGAGTGGGGAGAGCCTGGGCAGCAGGCCAGGGCCAGAGAGGACATGGGTTTTATGGGAAGAGTGGGTGTGGAAGAGGAGAGAGATGTGGCCCCACAGGCTGTGGAGCAAGTCACATGGGGTTCTGCGCCACAGAAAGGATGGAACATCTTCTATGGCAAAGGGAAGGCGCTGGAAGGTGCTTAAGCCTGGGATTAGCAATCTGGTTTACAGCTTTAAAAGACCATCCTGGCTGCTCTGTGGATTCTGAGTCAGAAGCAGCATTTCAGGTGAGGCTGAGGAAACTCTGAAGGAACACAGAGCCAGAGATTGGGCAGGAGGACCCAGGTCAGGGTCACTGTCAATGGGGGCTGGGCAGGACCTGTGGGATGAGTCAGGATATTGGGGAAAGGATGGTTTTGAGTGTGTAGGGATCTGGCTCAGACAAGTGGCTGAATTATGGGTACTGCTCTGGGCTGAGTTGTGTCCCCCAAAATTCATGTGTGAAACTCCAACTCCAGTATCCCCAAATATAACTGTGTGTGGAGACTGGGTCTTTACAGAGGTACTTAGGTTAAAACAAGGTCTTTAGAGTGGGCCTCAATCCAATATGACCAGAGAGAACTTAGGAAGAGGCTCGGCGCC